CATGGCTTCGCTGTCAGCCACAAGAGTCAATTATTACTGAACTCCACTCCTTCCTTTAAATGTTATTGTATTCCAGTCATCTACCAGTGACACTTTGAGACATCTGTAAAGCAACCAGGACACAGGAATTATAAGGTACGTTAGAAGGAGTCAAGGCTGACTGTCAACAGAAAAGTGAGCTTGACAAATTAGAAGGCTGATTCAGTTTTTTCTTCCTTCACTTAACTTTGGCCAGTCAAGGGAAAGGGAATCCCCTGGCTTATGTTTTTTAAGCAGATTAAGAACACAGAATAAGAATTTCTGTGCCCGCTGTGTCTCCCCTGTACAGTGCAGCTTCGTGGAGAAAAACGTCACCCAGCGTGTTTGTCAGATCCAACAACAGCTGCTGAGCAGCCAGATCTTAATTTTTCCTCCAGAGGAAAGAAGGAGAAAAGCTTACTGTCTTAGAGGGGGCTAAATTTGCTATGTAATTCTTTGGGGTCAAAAGCAGATAAACTGAGTGGATGTTCTCTCAGCTCTGGCACCTGCAGGTTGGGCCCAACAGCAAAGAGCTCTTTTCTGTTTGTCTAGTTGGGGATTTTTTAGCTTTGTCTCTAGAATGTTTTCTGTAACTTGGTACTTCTTTCTCAGTTCTCTGCCCCTTATAGGAACTATTTTGCTGCCTGGGCAGTCAGCCAAACATTGTAACTGCAGAATAAATATTTTCTGATTTACTCCTGCAGTCCTTCATGAATATTCTTAGAAATGGCAAGCTGCTTCATTAGCCTTCTGAATTATTAACAGTTCTCAAGTTAAGATAATTCCTTGTTAATATTATTTCGATGTTATTTTATGATTGCATCTGACTGAGGATAATGCTTATAGGCACTGCCTTGTCTAGCAGCTTCTTTATGTGTTGCAGTAGATGTATTTTATCTTGGATGAAAACATTATACATAATTGTTCTCTTTTCCAAACTACAGAGGCTCAACTTTTGAAAAAAAGCAGAATGAAAAGTAAGGGTTTAGTTTCCAATTTTTTAAGCCTGGCAGTTCTTTGGTTCCTTAGAAGCTTGTGTACTGTTCTGCCACGGGTCCTATCATACGGCCACTTTTCATCTTACCAGTCTCTGGAGACTGCCTAGTCCTCATCCTTTCCTTCTTGTTTCTTCCATGATGTTTTCCTGCTTCTCTCCCAACCTGACTTCTAACCAATCTCCTCACACAACCTCCCCACGCCATTACTTGTGCTGGAATGTCCTTGCTTTCCTGTAGCCTTTGACAAACCTTTGCCTTATCAGCTAAATATATAGTGCAGAAAGCTCCTGGTGTGGAAGTCTGTCAGCTATTTGTGCTGCTGCCAATGAAGTTAACATTCTATCTACAATTTGCCAGTGCTTATCTCTAGATGAATCACATCTTTGAGCAGACCGTGTTAGCTAATGAATACTGTCAAGGGCTACAAGTAGCCATTACACTTAATAAATCACATTGCATGTAAAGCCAGGTTACATGGTATAAATTACCAGCACTGAATGAAGACTTAGACCATTTACTTTTCAGTCCTTTTTTCATCTTTCTGCAGAAGCTAGAGCTTAAGGTATTATTGAATTTTTCTTTTATTAGCACTTCCCTTGCAATGTAGTCTTGATTAGTGAGGAGCTTTTAGGATTTTCAGTTCCAAAGTCATCAGATAATCGATCCCCACACAGAGCCATCAGAGAATCTGTCCTATCTCCTGTATAACTTCTTACCTTTTGTTACAGCCAAGCTCATTGACTTGAGCTTGATTAGCATGTATCTTCCAGAGGTACCTGGATTTCACTCTAAAAATGAAAAATCTCCTATTTCTCAGGTCACTTGTTCCAACAACTAATTACTTCCTCTTAGAGAACAAAACAAGAAAGGAAACCCCGGCTGCCTCCTCTCGAACCAAAACCTGGCCGTCCTGATGCCCCAAAACAAAGTACACAGGTTTGTGTCGGGGCTTTGTTGACTGGTTGTTTTGAAACATCTATGTGCAACGTTTCCCGATGCGCACTTGGGTGTCGAGCCGTTCCCTGCAGACCGAGCAGACGCCCCCGGGACACCGCACCCCGCGGGCAGCTCTGAGCTCTCTGCTCTCGGCCCGGCTCCCTTCAGGCCCGGGAGGCCGCTGCAGCAGAGCCCTG